CTCAGAATTCCCCTAGAGGGAATCTGGTTACTTAGTAATCTTTTCCCAACAGTCCTTGGCCTCGTTCTTTGTTTCTTTGTTTCAAACCACTTTAATTCAAGTGTATCACGTTTAGTCCAGGGAGATCTTAAATAACACGCTTTACTTTAAATTGCCCGTTTGACAGCTTTAACAGCTGTCAAACTCCTTTCCTCTTCAACAGGCTCAAAGGCAGGACGCTCCCGGGCCCGGAAGGGGGGGGTTACACACCACAAGAGAAAAACTTCTAAAATTCCACTCTTACACTCCAGCTCAAAACTTCTTTTATCAAATCGTGAAAGTTAATGTCTTTTTAACTCACCCCAAAGGGGTAGACTCTCCAACTTAGTTCTCCTGCTATTGCTTTAAATCGTCTGCAGAAGGGGGGGGTGCGGACTTCCCTTTAACACCAACCCCGGTCGTATCCAAATCACAGATAGATATTTTAAAGTCCGAATTCCCATCTACACACGGGTTGCTTCTTTTCGAGTTCCGAATATAAGGAAAAAGTCAGTGCTCTTCAGCCATGGCACACGGCTCCGCTCCGCTGGGGTAGCGGTCTACTCCCAGCACCACGCCGCTTCCGTACCCTCTCCGTAGCCTTTAAAAAGGCTCTTCGTGGGTCGGGGGCGCTTAAGGTGCCCACCGAGTCACCAGGTCCGCAGGCATCCGCGCCTGCGGTTTTTGAGGGTCTCCGCGTCGCCGTCGCGGCAAGACCCGTCCCCAGCGGAGCCGATTCCCTCCGGAGCTCGGAGAGAATCCGCCATTAGCTGTTCGCACCAACCCGGAAGTGCCTCCTACATCTTTCTTCCTCCCACCCACGTTACTTGCGGAACAAGCTGAGAGCAACAAACAACCAGGCAGGGTTTTTGCCTGTTTACCTTGGCAAACAGGGCCAGAAAAGAAATGGACTGTGTACAACAAGGAGGAGGAAGATGCTTTCTTAACCCAAGGGCCACATTTCCTTCTGGGAAATCTTCTGGGGGGCCGTGTGGAAGTTGTGAGTGGGACCAGGGACAAAAGTGGGAGGAGCAATGAATATAAATGTTACCTTTGTACATTCAGGTTAGCACATTCAGTATCTTCCTTCCAGGCAAACAAGAAATATTAGGAGAGTTCGAGAACATGTCAGGCAACTCTGGGGCTGCGGCGCTCATCTCGCTTTATTGGCTAAGGGAGCCGGTGTACAGCTTCCGGGTCATGTGGCCAGCATGTCTAAGCCGCTTCTGGCGCACCAGAGCAGCGCACGGAAATGCCGTTTACCTTCCCGCCGGAGCGGTACCTATTTATCTACTTGCACTTGCTTTCAAACTGCTAGGTTGGCAGGAATAGGGAACGAGCAATGGGAGCTCACCCTGTCGCGGGGATTCGAACCGCCGACCTTCTGATCGGCAAGCCCTAGGCTCTGTAGTTTAGACCACAAAATCTACTGATTACGGTATGTGGTTTAGACCAGCATAATCTACTGAGATCTACCTTCTGATCGGCAGGCCCTAGGCTCTGTGGTTTAGACCACAAAATCTACTGATTATGTGGTTTAGACCAGCATAATCTACTGAGGAGGGTCCTGCTTCTTACAATATGCTCCATGGATTTCCACTGCCCTGTTAGGCATATTTAAATCAGCCTAAAGTTCTGCTCCAGCTCACTGTGTCCTAGATGCCATCTGCACTAGACATTTAAAGCAGTATCATACCACTTTAAAAAGTCATGGCTCCCACCAAAAGAACCTGGGGACTGCAGTGGGTTAAGGGTCATGAAATCAGGTTCACCTAGCTAACCCAGTTTCTAGTATTACAAAACAGAGAGAAAAAGCTATCTCATTGGTGTTCTACATATAATTCATAATTTTGTAATTTCTCCCTTACTTAATCATCATTTTTCTAATCTACAAAAAAGCCCCTAACACTTTTGCTTTCCTCATAGTGAACATTCTCCAACTTTTGATCATCGGAGTGATCCAACACAACACAAAATATATTTACTTTTATAACAAAGCTAGATCTGTATTATCTGTTGACCACAGCTCCAAGCCATGGCTGTTTAAAGTGGTGTCGCAGTGCTTTAAATGTATGGTGTGAATCTGGCCCCAATTATTATTTTTTTAGGGCCTAACACAGTCTTGCAGCGATTTCTTTACCTGCTCACAATTTATCTCAGAAAACTTCCCTGCTCCCTCAAGCTCAGCTTCTTGGAATACAAGCGACTGACCATGTTGCCCTGTTCCCATTTTGGCAGTCTTAAAAGGCTCTTCCATTCTCCCCCTGTCTCTTTGGCACACTGTGATGTCCTTTAATGGGCTTTCGAAATTTTGCTCAGCTCTGTAGGGAGCCTCCTCGACAGGGAAGTCAATAACTCTTCTTGTCTGAGAGGACAACTGTGCATCACAGCAAAGTGCGACATAGGCGTCTACACGGCGGGCAGAAGACATTTTCTTCTCTGAGGTGGAGCAGCAAATGGGCTCCCCTTCCAAGTCAACATACATAATACCCAAAGCTGATCAAGTTATTTTGGCACCTAAGCAGAAGAGGAAAAAATTCCCACAAGCGCCTCTCTTCCCTGCCTGGCAGTGAAAATGCAACTGAAATATACTCAGAGTCACAAAGTGATTTCATGCTCTTTATTCAGCTCATAGTGGTGAGGTGGAATGAATGAAAGTCCCCTCAAAGTATCTGCTTTATATACATTATTTACACAATGGGCTGCACATGATTGGCTAATTCTGGAATTCTACTGTAAGCCAATCAGGTTGTGGATTCACTTATATCTGGAGCATGATTGGGTGGTTCCTGCCAACCAATCATACTGCTGCATTGTTCTAGGACCAATCAGACTGCTGCATTCTGAATCCTATTGTTCTAGGACCAATCAGACTGCTGCAATTTGGATCCTATTGTTCTAGGACCAATCAGACTGCTGCAGTTTGTATCCTATTCAACTCAGTACATAACAGCAACAATAATAAATTAAATAGCTAACCTTTTGCTGTCCTTCCACGAGGCCCAAAATCAGCTGCCTGAGGATAACTGGCTCGTTCTGCCTATGTAGCCAGAAACTGCAGTTGTTTGCAGGAGGGAAAACCCTGCTCAGAGATTTGCATGGGGCTGCCATTTTGTCACTAGGCAAAGTTGAAGGTTTTTGCTATCTGCATATGAAGCGCTTAACAGTTTGGGACTAGTTTTTTTCTCTCTTTTATTATTTATTTGATTTATTGAATTTATATACCACCCTATACCCAGGGGTCTCACAGAATAAAATCAAGGGGATTACCTTATTCCAAATACACTCACTTGACTCCTTTGATCTGCAGAACTGGCACTGTTAGAGGTGCCACATAATACTTGTTCCACACTTGTGAAGTCTTTTGGTATAGCAGCACCTAAACATCAGAACTCCCTGCATATTGACATCAGTTAGGCGCATTTGCCGTAACCTTTTCAGACCTTGTTGAAAACGGAACATTCTTCAGGCAAGCCCACCTAGAAACAGAGAAGCTGCTATGTGTTGTAATCATCTTCTATTTTAGTTTAGCAGTTTATTTTAATTTTAGCTTTGTTTAACTCTTTATTTTAATTATTTTATTATTATTATTATTTTAATACATGATTTTTAACATTGCCGTTCTTTGACCATTTTGGCTTTATTCTGTTTCTGCAAACTACTTAGAGGTTCTATTTACAATGAAGTGATACATACATTTTGTTAAATAAATAAATAAATGTGTGTGCATATATTTTTAAAGCATATGCAGTTATTTCATATATGCGTGTACGTATTTAAAAGCATTTCTAAGCCACTTAATATCTGAAAATCCCTAAGTGGTATACAAAAATAACATAAAAACTAGAAGTTAGCATTATTAAAAAAACAGGTAAAAGCAGGTACAGGTAAAAGCAGAAATCTAGTAAAAGCAGGATCCAAACTTACGAGTCAAAAGGATGCATCTTTTCAAGATACCTGAAGCAACTGTTGGATAATGCTTCATGTAGGGCAGAGAGAAGACCATTCCACAGTGGCAAAAAATGCTTGTTTTAGGTCCCTGCCCTGTGATAGTCTGTAGGGTATGATGCCATGAGTAATATTATACGTCTCTACAAGGGCAGGCAGTATTTCTTCTTCTTCTTTTTCTTCTTCTTTTTCTTCTTCTTCTTCTTCTTCTTCTTCTGGTTTTTATTTACACTTTTCAAGTTCATACATTTCATTAGTTTTACAATATATTTAACATTTCAAAGTTTGACTTCCTTCCCCCTCTTTCTGCGGTTCCTTAAATTTATTTTTTAATATCTTCGGCATATCCAAATTCATTTCATTTGCTCATTTAATTATCTACTTTAAATATATATACTCTTATGAAACTGCAGGTTATTACAATAATCCTGCCAATGTTTCTATCTGTTTGCAATTTATCTGTAAATATTCAATAAACCGTTTCCATTCTTTTATAAAAAGTTTGTTATGATTTCTTCTTCTTCTTCCGGTAAGTTTCGCCATTTCTGCATATTCCATAAGTTTCTGTATCCATTCTTCCTTTGCTGGGACTTCTGCTTCTTTCCACTTTTGGGCAAGTAACATTCTTGCCGCTGTGGTAGCATACATAAATAAATTTCTATACAATTTAGGTAGTTCTGTCCCTATAATTCCCGAAAGTAAAGCTTCTGGTTTTTTTACAAAAGTTATTGAACATCCTTTTCAATTCATTGTATATCATTTCCCTGTAAGCTGTAACCTTCCTACAAGACCACCACATATAATAAAAAGAACCTTCTTTCTCTTTACATTTCCAACACTTGTTTGATTTAGATTTATACATTTTGTCACTTTACTCGGTGTTAGATACCGACAGTACATCATTTTCATATAATTTCCTCTTAAACAATAACATGCTGTAACTTTTATATCCATATAGGGCAGGCATTATTTCAGGTAACCTGGTCCTTTGCTTTGCTTCTTGTTCACATGCATTCCCTCTTATTTATCTCCAGATCTGGCAGAATGTGAAGCAGGCTGGACCAAATTCCAAGGCAACTGTTACAAGCACTTTGAAGAAAAGCACACGTGGGTGGATGCTGAGAACCTCTGCCGAGAGCATCAGTCTCACCTGAGCAGTATCATCACTCCTGAAGAGCAGGAGTTTGTGAACAGTAAGTGTGGTGATTTGAGGAATATGCAGGGCCAGAGATCCAGGTTGCACTTTCCAAACAGGTGGCATTGGCTGATCAAGAAACTACAAATTCCTATTGAGTTTAGAAGTAGAATCAAAACGCTGCAATTTGCAGTCATTCCAGATTGGTTGTGGGGGAGTTGTGGGGAGGTGGTGTAGTCAATTAATGCATTAGTGGTAGAATTATACTGGGCCACTCATCCATCATTCCGTTTTATTTGTCGTTTTATGATGCTTCCCCAGTGTTGTCATATTATTGCGGGTGGTGCTGTGGTCTAGACCACTGAGTCTCTTGGGCTGGCTGATCAGAAGGTCAGCAGGTTCAAATCCCCGCAACGGGGTGAGCTCCCATTGCTCTGTCCCAGCTCCTGCCAACCTAGCAGTTTGAAAGCACGCCAATGCAAGTAGATAAATAGGTACCACTGTGGCAGGAAGGTAAACGATGTTTCCGTGCGCTCTGGTTTCCGTCACGGCATTCTGTTGTGCCAGAGGCGGTTTAGTCCTGCTGGCCACATGAGCCAGAAAGCTGTCTGTGGACAAACGCCGGCTCCCTCGGCCTGAAAGCAAGATGAGCGCCACAACCCCATAGTCGCCTTTGGCTGGACTTAACTGTCCAGGGGTCCTTTACCTTTTTACCTTACCTGTCTGGAAGAGCACCCAGGCGCAACAAAAGGGGAAAAGGAAAGAGTGGAACATTTGTGGTGTGAAAATTTGCAGGATTTCAGCAGGAAGTTACAGGCTAACTTTCTAATCTTTATGCTCTCTCTCTCTCTCCTTTCTAGACAACGCTCAAGACTACCAGTGGATTGGCCTTAGTGACAGAGCAGTTGAGGATGACTTCCGCTGGTCTGATGGACACTCCCTTGTGAGTTACATTTCAGAAGGACATGGTTTTCAGTGAATGATCCTGGGCTGCTGGGAAACATTTCAGCATAAGAGCTTCCTTCCTCACAAGGAAATACAATTCTGGGCTTGATTTATTTTTGCCCCTCGTGCCCAAGAATGAAAGGGGCTTCTGTGTTTTGTGGGAAAGGACAAGAGACAGAGGCAACATTATCACAACACATTTAAAGCACTGTGATACCACTTTAAACAGTCGTGGCTTCCCCAACTGGAAATTGTAGTTTAAGGGATGCTGACAGTTGTTAGGAGACCTCTATTCTCCTCGCTGAGCTCCAATTCCCAGAGTTCTCTGCAAAGAAGGATTGGTTGTTTAACCTCTGGGAGCTTTGTGAGGGTAATAGGGGGTCTCCTAACTACTCTCAACACCCTTAACAAACTACAGCTCCCAGAATTCTTTGGGGAAAGTCCTGACTGTTTGAAGTGGTATCATAGTGCTTTAGATACATGGTGTGCTTGTGACCAGAGTTAGGGCTGGCTGCAGGTTTGATTGGGGCTTTGACCACTTGCCCTTCAGAGCTGCCAAGTGTCCTATAAGGAGTTGGGCATATACAGGTACCTGCATGGCATTCGAATATTTTCGCTGGCAATAAGCCAGGCATAGGCAACCTTGGCCCTCCAGATGTTTGGGGCCTACAATTCCCATCATCCCTGACCACTGGTCCTGTTAGCTAGGGATCATGGGAGTTGTAGTCCCAAAACATCTGAAGAGCCAAGGTTGCCTATGCCTGCAATAAGTGGTAGTGGCTGGTGCTCATTGTGACTGGTAGGGTGGAAGGCAGGGAGGCCACCAGTAGGTGGAGCTAGAGCCAACAAGAAGCAGCGCTAGAGACAATAGAAGGTGGAGCAACTAATCCTCATTTTGTTCCCTTCCCTTCTACAAGGAGCAACATCAAAACTAAGGGTAAGGAACCTGGCAGGCAGTGCCAGCCTCTGGAATGGTAATAAGAAGGCAGGCAGGTGGGGCTGGCTAAAGCCAGACAGAGGTTGGTGTAACAATGCCCCATTTGCCCGGCTGGGCCAGATTCCACTGCCTGCAGAGCAAATAACAATAAGCCCCTCACTTTTCAGGATTATGGTCCCACCCTCACTTGCGGGACCCTGCAAAAACAAAACAAAAACCCACAGGTGATCTGATGGCCATTTTCTCCACCATTGGGTCTTATTAGACCCTAAGGAAAAGCCTCCCCAACTGTCTTCTCTGTCTAAGTTCCAATACCAGCTTCGTTCTCATCTCTCCTAGCAATATGAGAACTGGCGGCCCAACCAACCTGATAATTTCTTTGCCAAAGGAGAAGATTGTGTCGTAATGATCTGGCATGAGAAGGGAGAGTGGAACGACGTCCCCTGCAACTACCACCTCCCATTCACGTGCAAGAAAGGAACAGGTAAGGCTGGATTCCTGGCAGCAAGAGGTCTATGGGACAAGGAAGGATGAGATAGCAATCCTTCCCAAGGGCACTCGTGCAGGTGTGGGGAAATCTTTGGCCGTCCAGAGGTTGCTGAAGTACAATTTCCAACAGTTCCCCAGCAAACATGGCCAATGACCAAGGGTGATGGGAGTTGTAATTCCACAATATCTAGGGAGCCAAAGGTTCGCCGCACCTGCTGTCATGTGTGTGACTTGGGAGATCTGCAAGTCTGCCGTGTGAAAAAAATTCAGTAATTAAATCGGGTATGGGAAATGTGTTTCCAACCCCAGTTGCAAATTGATTTCATTTTCCACCAGCCCCTTTGAAACAGTTTGAAGGCTAATGTCCGGGGAGGGGCATCAGTCTAGCAACATCAGCCACATGTTCCCCTTTCCTGAATTACCGTATTTTTCGCTCTATTAGACGCACCAGACCATAAGACGCACCTAGTTTTAAGGGGAGGAAAACAAGAAATAAAAAAGCAACGCAAAGCATCCTGAGCATCTCCCGCATAAGCCAGGGATAGCCGTGCGAAGCCTCCACAGGGCAGCAGGATCAAGGCTCCTCACTGCCCTGCGGAGGCTTCCTGCAGCTAAGCCAGAAGCTAGAACAGCTAGAGGGAGTACTGCGCTGCGCTCCCTGTAGCTGTTCTGGATTTTGGATAGCCCCATGAAGCCTCCGCAGGGCACGGGGATGAAGGCTCCCCATGCCCTGCAGAGGCTTCCCGCGGCTAAGCCAGAAGCCAGGACAGCCAGTGAGATCGCAGCGCAGCGATCCTGCTCGCTGTCCTGGCTTCTTGTTTGGCCGTGCACAGCCTCTCCCGGGCAAGGGAAGCCTTCATTCCCTGTCCATGAGAGGCTGCGCGCAGCTAAGGCTCCCCCAAGAGCAGCGCTCCCTTTAAAGAGCGTGCGGAGTGTGTGTGCAGCTCTTTAAAGGGAGTGCAGAGCAGAACCTCCCGTCTGCATTTGTTCCATAAGATGCACACACATTTCCCCTTACTTTTTAGGAGGGGAAAGGTGCGTCTTATAGAGCGAAAAATGCGGTAAATTTTCCTCATAGGGTCAGTGACTCACACAGAGATGCAACAAGCGAAGTTGGAGGGCAGGAAACGTATTGTGCGATTGGACCATTCAGTCCCTCAAATGGCAGAAATCTGCCAGGGCTTTCTTTTCTCGGATAAAGCTGCTCTAGGTGGAAGTGACCTACTCAGAGTTAAAAGCATGCTTTGTGTTGGAGAACTGCGTTGCAAAATTCATAGGAGTGTGAATTTCAAAGGTCCGCTGAGTTCCACTATGCACGTTGTTTCAGGAAGTGAAAATTAAGTAGTTCACCTTTAAATGTGGCCTGAATCAGATTCCCACCCACCCCTACTTCTCTAGATGCTAGTTAACCAGTTGTTTATAGCTCTAATCCTGGCTGCCACATTTAACAAAAAAGATGGCCATCTGCAGCCACTGAGCCTGGCTCATGGACCAGGCAACAGAACGCTCTTAGCAACCTTGGCGTCTAAAGGTCTCATAGACCAAACAGCAGACAAAGGCTTTAGTATGGAATCCCCCTTCCTGCATGGAACCAAAAGTCAGAGCAAGGATAAATTTTCAGAGAATTCGCTCCTGAGCCCAAGAAGTGCAGAGAACACCAACGGCATTTTAAGGACGGGACTAGCATCTCATACTTGCAAATCCCCCAAGATCTCTGTTCCTAACCTAGTTCCCCAGCCCCATTAAAAAAAAATATTGAAGAACACTTTTTTCCTGAACCAAACTTCAATGTTTGCTTCACTCTTAACCCTCAAAAGGATTTGCTTTCAGGTTGTGAAAGCAGAAGAACTCTCTGGACTCAGAGCATCCTCCTGCGCTGCTAAGTAAGCAGGGATGGAGGAGGAGCTCAATTCTGTGTGCCTCTAAAGGAGAATTTACCAAATTTTCAAAAGAACGTGGGAGCCAAAGTGTAGCCATCCTTTGAAATTTGCACTTACTGTACCTGAATTCTGCAATTTACTTCTCCAGCCAAGTAATGTGCATAAATATATGCACACATATATTTGTGAAAAGGACATACAAAAGCGTGTTAAATTAGGGGAAGATTGTTTTGCAGAAATGTGTAAGCTATTTGTATGCAAAATTGCATACAAAATTGTGTGTGTGTGTGTGTGTGTGTGTGTGTGTGTGTATTAGAAGAAATTTGCACTAGAATGTGCATAAATTTACATTAGAGCTGTGAAAAACAGACACAATTAAATGTGGAGAAACTGAACTTAAAATTGGAAAAATGAGAAAAACGAGCGACTGTTCTGTGTATGACTCCTGAGTGTAAGGAGACAGGTACTGAGCGGCCTCGACAGACGTCCTTCTCTGAGCTCAGGTGACTGATTCTGCTGCATATCTGTATCAAGAGCGACTGAATGTTACAATCACACCAATGAAGAGAAAGAGCAGAATTAGACAGTCAAATTGGATGCTGATGATGTAATGTGAAAACCAGAGCAGTAAATCATACAGAGACACAGCATCCTATCAACTGGTTAGCAATATGGTGTCACACATTTTTAATATTAAAAGTTCTTGCGATGATAGGAGAAGAAGGTTAGGAGTATCACACCAGCCACTGAGCTGCTTTGTGCTGAAAGCAACTTTGAAGGCTTTCTTTTCCTCCACCAGTTTCCTGTGGAGACCCACCCGTAGTTGAGAACGCCAGGCACTTTGGAAAGAAGAAAGACCGCTATGAGATCAACTCCATGGTGCGGTACCAGTGCAATCAGGGCTACATTCAGCGCCATCTGCCCACCATCCGGTGTCAACCCAACGGGCACTGGGAAGAGCCACGGATAGCCTGTATTGATCGTATGTAATGGTCTATCTTATTTGTACTGTGAACCAATATCCTGATTCAGTATAAGACAGCTTCCTGTGTTTCTGTGTAACCTCCATGCAAGTTGTATGCGAATGTATCACCACAAATGCTCAATAAATAGTCAGTCTCGAAACTCCCAGGGACAGAGAGTGCGGAAGAGTTTATCCAACTCCCATTTGAGTTAGACAGATGGCGTGTGTATGTAGTCCATCGACCTTTGCCAGCCAGTAGTTGACCCACACTTTCCAGGGGAAATTTCCCATCGCTTTTCTCATTGGACTTCTTGTGGTTAGAAAAGCGATGAGATATTTGCACTAGAAAGATGTAGGGTGATGACCAAATTTTGTGCAAATGCACAGCTATACTGGAAAGGCCTTCATGAATGCAGTACCTACACTGGACCAGAATGCTCTCTGGTACACCCAAGTATTCTTCTCTAGCTTCTTCTTCCTAATTAGGAATGATCAGACAGTTCACACCCACAGCAAGGGAGAGGCTGGCTGAAGCTTCCTCATGAGTGATAATGATGCTCTTAGTTAAAGCTCAGTCTGACAAGGACTCCAGGTCTATCCCTCTCCCAGGCAGAGCTGGCTCACAAGGGCCAGCTGGATATTCAGCTTGGGGGACGCTTCATTCCATAGCGATGCCAACAGCTGGCAAGTCCTTCTTGGCCAACATGCTGTGCTCAGCAGACTCTCTGTAAGTCTTTGAGTTCTCTGGCTTGTGAACAGACAGAGGGCAGGGATAAGATTTGCAGGGGTAGAGGAGAGGCAGCTAGATGGAAGCTCCCATGCCACCCTTTCAATTGGCTAATAAAAGGTTTGGGAATCAACTTAACTATGGGTTTTCCTTTAAGGATCCTGACTAGGGGTGGGGGAGAAGTTCAGCTCAGTTTGCATTTTAATGGGGACCTCCCAAATTCACACTTCCTGACACGATACACAAATCAAAACCATGCTGTCCTTTGAAGTCCACACCTCTCCTAATGTTATGATGCAGTTTGCCAACCAAATGATGAGTAGGAAAAAGTGCACGTTAGGCAAAAGTGTGCATAAAAATGTGCCTTTTCCTGAAGATATGCAAAAATGCATTATGTAGCGAGAAAATGGCTTGCAGAAAAATGTGTATATTAAGACAGAATTGCATGCAAAATATTAAGAGAAATGTGCACTAAATGCTGCCCATTTTCATGATGACTTTAAAAAAAAAAATCACAAACTGTTGGGGAAATCTGGAAACCAAACTTCAGATGGGGGAGATGAGAACTGAAATTTACAGATTCACCCATCCCTCTTCCTGAATGTAAAGTACCGTATTTTTCGCTCTATAAGGCGCACCAGACCACAAGACGCACCTAGTTTTTGGAGGAGGAAAACAAGAAAAAAAATATTCTGAATCTCAGAAGCCAGAACAGCAAGAGGGGTCACTGCTCAGTGAAAGCAGCAATCCCTCTTGCTGTTCTGGCTTCTGGGATAGCTGCGCAGCCTGCATTCGCTCCATAAGACGCACACACATTTCCCCTTACTTTTTAGGAGGGAAAAAGTCAGTCTTATAGAGCAAAAAATACGGTATTTGGGGAAAAGAAATACTAAATAGATCCAGGGTTGGGGGCATGTTTGGAAAAAATAGGCTTGTAGCCAATTAAGTCTTACTCCAAGTAGGCCCATTGAAATGAATGTGCCTAAGTTAGTTATGTTGATTAACTTTAATGGGTCTGCTCTGAGTTGGACTGGCATTGAATACAACCAATAACCTTCCCTTCTCCAGATTTAACCTACACACCTCCTCTGACCCTTGGGCTGTCTGGGGGCACTCTTGCATTGGTTGAAGATACCCACATCCCACCATCAGAGGTAGCCAGATGTTGTTGACTACAATGCCCACCATCCCTGACCATTGGCCATGCTGACTTGGACTGATGGGAGTTGAAGTTCAACAACATCTGGAGGGTGTCACATTGGCTACCCATGATGCGGGTAGCGCTGTGGTCTAAACCACTGAGCCTCTTGGGCTTGCTGGTTGGAAGGTCAGCGGTTCAAATCCCCGTGACGGAGTGAGCTCCCGTTGCTCTGTCCCAGCTCCGGCCAACTTAGCAGTTTGAAAGCACACCAGTGCAAGTAGATAAATAGGTACCGCTGCAGCAAGAAGGTAAACGGCATTTCCATGCACTCTGGCACTCATCACGGTGTTCCATTGCACCAGAAATGGTTTAGTCCTGTTGGCCACATGACCCAGAAAGCTTTCTGTGGACAAACACTGGCTCTTTTGGCCTGAAAGCAAGATGAGCGCTGCAACCCCATAGTCGCCTTTGAGTGGACTTAACCGTCCAGGGGTCATTTACCTTTACCTTTTACAGGTGTGGCTCAGCTGGCTCTTAGCTCTGTGAACACTTTGTGCCAGCAAATCAGAAGGCTAAAAAAAAGGCCATCTGGAGGAGCCCATTGTCAATGAAGTAGCTTGCTTTAAAAAAAAAATTGTCACAGGGCAGAGGTTGTTTTGAATTTTGTATCAGGCACCAACGTCTCTTGGGCTATTTTTTTTTTCTGGATTCCTCCTCCGCAAAGAGAAAGCTCTCTTCTCTTCTCCAGCTATGGCTCCTTGAACAGGGAGCAATGTAAGAGAGTCTGCCTCATGGGCTGGCGATGTCTCGGCCTATCAACCGTTATTGGAAAGGGCAGACTTTATTCCCTCACCCCACCCCACGCCACAACGGACAGTAGCAGAGTTGTCTGTGGCACCTTCAAATCTCTTTCCCCTTAGTGTTAGGTGGAAGGGACAGAGCCTGCGACCAAGTGCCGCAGATGGGGGCAAACCCACCCAGCTGGTTCATTGGGTCCCAGAGCACTGGAGGTGAGAGAAGGCCTGATTGTGCGATGGTGAGAGTGCTGGCGCCATGGCACGTTCAGCACGGCCAGCCAGAGAAACAACATGCTACAGCCTCGGCAGTGTTTTTCCAGAGAGCAAGAGGGAGAGAGGCGTTTGGTCAAGCCAGCTGAGGACAAACAGGGCCTCTGTAACCTCTATCCCTAGGTAACAAGGTGCCTTTTCTTCTTCTTCTTCCCCTCCCACAGCCTCCACCTACAAGCACAGACTACATAAGAGGAGCGCAAGGACTCGATCAAGGACCAATGGAGGAATGGCGCAGAGACCCACCCATTAAAGAAGAGACAGAGAGAGGAGATAAGAGAGAGAGAGAGATTTTATGGAACAGTTATATTAACAGATTCGATTTCTTCTTGTTGCTTTTTTGTTGTTGTTATATAAGGGGAAAAATATATTAAAGAAAAATCCACCTTGTGCATATGTAAAAAGAGAGAGACAGAGAGAGAAACTTTTGCAAAACAGCAAAGCAAAAGCTTTTTTTTTTTTTTTTACTAACCGTCTGGATCCAATTATCTTTGTGCCTTTTCGGGGAAGGGGATGGAGAGGGTCGCAAGAGGGTGAGGGTTAAGTTAAATAATAAAGAAGATTTGCTATTTTTTTGTGGGGGAGGTCCTGGTTTTATTCACAGGCCATGTAATTATTTAATCTGCAGGGTGGACAAGACTCTCTCTTTTTCTTTTTCTTTTGTAAGCCGTTGTGTTTCTCCTTCCCTGTCCCACTCAGCTTCTTCCCACTGTTGCAGCTTACCTTGTAGGGTTCAGAGGGAGCCACTGGGAATGTGTAAATCGAGAGAGAGAGAGAGAGAGAGAGAGAGAGAGAGATGAAATGGGCTGAATCTTTTCAATGAGAAAAGGAATGGAAAAGAGGATTTCCGCCTCTCCCAGGGAGGTGGGGGAAACAGCCATTGCTCGTTTGGAAATGTCAATTCTTTTAAATAAATGCAAAATGTAAAATAATGTGTGAAGGCTGAAATTAACCAGAACATCAGACTAGCCAGAGTGGCATTCATATAAAGAATGAAGGGCACAGTTAAAAGCTGGACCTCTGAGGCTGTTTTAGTTCTTGTCAGTTTCCAGCTACTCTCAGCCAATTTCTCCTCCCCTCCAATTTTATTTTATTTTATCTCTAAAGTTGTGTGAAGGAAATGAGAGAGTAAATGACTGGAGCAACAAAATTCAGGTCTTGTTACTGACAATTGGCAAGCCAGCTTCATATATACACCTATGAATCAACCTTAGTGGGTCGTTCCAGAGATTCCCCCTCAAGTCCCAACATGCTGAATGCACAGAGGCAATATCTGTTTTCAGCCGCTGTGTGAATGAATGTAACCGCTTTGTAAGCTGTCCGTCTGTATCATCCTGTCAGGTGTTGATCATTGGGCCACACTCTTTGATCCCCAGAATTTTGTTGAAACAAAAGTGTAGTTGAAACAATACTTGACAAGAAGTTACAGAGGTGCAACTTGTGGTCAGTTACCATGTTGGTCAGTGGTCATCTGTATTAGCTTCCTAGCTCAAGTCAAATGCTGTTGCGAAGTTCTTAAGCAGGGCCCAGGAAGCTGTCATATCCAGTTGGGCCATAAGGTCCATCACGCACAGCACTGTCTACATCAGAGTTTCCCAAACTTGGGTCTCTAGCTGTTTGGGGTACTACGATTCCCGTCATCCCTGACCACTGGTCCTGCTAACTAGAGATGATGGGAGTTGTAGTTCAACAGCAGCTGAAGACCCAAATTTGGGAAACACTGGTACAAGCATAGAATCATAGAGTTGAAAGGGACCCTGAGGATCATCTTGATCCAACCCCCACCGATGCAGGAATATGTAGCTGTCCCATAAAGTGATCGAACTTGCAACTTTGACATTCTCAGCACCATGCTCTAACCAACTGAGTTATCCGGGCTGGTCTACACTGACTGGCAGGAACAGCTTTTGAAGATTTCAGCCCAGGGCTTTCCCCAGCCCTACAGGGAGATGCGAGCGATTGAAACTGGGGCCTTCTGCACTCAAAGCGGATGTTCTCCCACTGAGCCATGGCCCTTCAGTTCAAAGCATGATAGCATCCTCAGCATCGGTAACCAAAGATAGACTTCCTCTGCTTGAGGCTCCCTCTTGTTTTTAGCTACCATGATTGGCATCTGCCCCATAAAACTGTCTAATCTAATAAAAAAAAGTGGGGGAAATAACACCCAAAGCTTTTAGTCAAATTTATTCTGGATGATGAGCAGGTCCAGGAATTAGATGCATTTTTTCATGCAAATGTGTGGGGCAGTATCCAATGTAGTGCTAAATTAAAGCCACTTAGAGGCCAACTTGTTCCTCTGGAGAAATGTTTTGTGCCAGCAGGATGTTGTGTTGTGTGAGAAAATGCACCAGCAAGTGGCTGGTAGCTTTGCTGCACAATAGATTGTGCAAGCTGTTGCACAATTGAGTTTCTGGTTGTGCAACTGTTTCCAGCAGTGGAAGACTTACAGAGTTGGAAGGGACTACAGGAGCCATCCTGTCCAACCCCATGCAGTGCAGGAATCTTTTGCCCAATGTGGGGCTCCAACCCACAACCCTGAGATTAAGAGTCTTATGCTCTGCTATCTGAGCTAACCCAGTTGTGTTGAATTAAAGCTCGCCCTTGCACTGGGACAGAGAACATGGGATACAGACCATGGCTACTTCACATTTAACCCCTGTCTCTAAGCAGCTCAAGGGATGCGGGTGGCGCTGTGGGTTAAACCACAGAGCCTAGGACTTGCTGATCAGAAGGTCGGCAGTTCGAATCCCCGCGATGGGGTGAGCTCCCGTTGCTCGGTCCCTGCTCCTGCCAACCTAGCAGTTCAAAAGCAGGTCAAAGTGCAAGTAGATAAATAGGTACCACTCCAGCGGGAAGGTAAACGGCGTTTCCGTGCGCCGCTCTGGTTCGCCAGAAGCGGCTTAGTCATGCTGGCCACTTGATCCGGAAGCTGTACGCCGGCTCCCTCGGCCAATAAAGCGAGATGAGCGCCACAACCCCAGAGTCGTCCGCAACTGGACCTAATGGTCAGGGGTCCCTTTACCTTTACTAAGCAGCTCAGGATAGCGGACAAGGGTCCATGCCGTTTTATCCTCACAACAACCTTGTGAGGTGGGTTTCACTTCCCTCTGTTTGTTCCGAACCTGCTGTCAGTCATTTCATTGGCTTATTTCCCCTGTCAGAGTAATGCTTGAATTATGCAGAGGGGAGCAGGAAGGTTGTGGCGTCCTTCGTGAAGTCTACAAAGTCCATCTTTGAATTTCTCTACTTTTAGCCAAACATCCCACCCCGCTTGCCATAGCTTTCTAAAAAAAACAACAACAGGTGTTCAGGAGCTGGCACAAAACAGTAAGGGGGCTGAGCCCCCTCTGGCCTGCGTATAATTTGAGCCACAGAGTCACTCAGCTGACAACATCATGGGTTTGTTTCTTTGGCCATCTTCTCCCTGCTTTCCTGAGTGCATCTTAAAGATGCAAGTAGAGGACATAGAAATAGATCTATAACGCAACTTCATAAGCCTGTGTCCCCCCCACCATGGCTGTTTCCTACCCCCCCCCCCACCAGGACATATGGAAAAGCAGCTCCCATCCTGAGATGGCGCTCTCTCAAGGGGGACTGTGCCGGGCACTTGAGTTCCCTGCACCTATTTATATATATTTTTTAAAAACCATAATGGTAATAATTATTGAAAACAAAGAGAAAACTGGTCATTTTTACAATAATTTAAATGGACTCGCCAATGTCTCAAGGATGCTGGTAGGAGCCTGGCTTTTGATGTGTGTTCTGTTTTCAAAGTGGGGTGGGGTGGGAATGGTCTGGGGGTGGGGGGATGTGGAATGAAGCAAAGAAGAGCTTGCCTGATTTTTTTGTTTTCTGTAAAAATAAAAAAAAGAGGTAGGAAGAAACCCAACCCAGAATATTTTCTTCTTCCTTCTTCCCACCTTTTTTTTTTTTTAGCAGGGGTGGGGGTGGGGGGTGTTTAACTCTTATGCATAAAATGCAAGATTCAAAATTAAAACAGCTATCGGCGCTGTTGTGAACCCTGTAAAATAAAAGTTTGTTGTATTTTATCCTTGCGGAGGTGCTGGTTGCATGCTGTGTGTGTGTTCTGTGTGTGTGCATTTGGGAACACATGTGCACACATCGTCGCAGGTCAGAAGCCACGTTACAGAACAAAGGGGTTATGTCAAAAGCACAGTGGTGGAGTTTAGGGACTGTAAATAAACTTATGTATTGATCAGGACAAGGCAAAGGCATCCAGTATAGACTGCAATCACTCCCAGCCTCAAGCAATGCAGGGCTGCTCTGCAGGAAAACAGGAAGCTGCCTTTTGTCAGGTCAGAATAATTCTCCACCCAGCTCAGTACTGCCTACTCTGACTGGCAGCTGCTCTCCAGGATCCCAGGAAGATGTGCTTCATGTGACTTCCTTCCTGGGGCCTTTTAACCCCTTACATGAGGGATGAGGCACATGTAGCTAGACTACAACTCACACCATTCCAGACCACTGGGCATGCTGGCTGGGAGTTTGATAGGAGTTGTGTTTAGTTGTATTGCTTTTTTTAACCTATTTTAGTTGTTTTGTTGCATATCATCTCAAAATGTATATGAAAGGTGATTCATAAATGCATAAGCAAATAAATGTGAAATGAATAAGTAACTGGAGGTGCCAGGGATCTTAGATCCTCCTTCAGGCAAAATAAGTGATCTGCTGCTGAGATGTGACCCTGTACTGAGTTGGGCAAACATACAGGCATATTGTCTGTTCAAGCACCGCAGATGTCATAAGTACTGTACTGTCGTAAGCAGTTCAGTTGGGCCTTTGCTGTTTGCCCAACTTTTGTAACTGCCCAAAGCAGTCTCCTGCTATATTGTTGGGGGACAAATTTGATTCAGTGTGCATTTAATGGCAATCCTACCAAATTTGCAGCTTCCAAAGCAATGCAGAAAGCCATCCCTCAAAATCTGCATGAGTTTTGCAATGCAGGTCTCCAGTCAAGCAATGTGTCCAAAAATGTATACGCTAGGGTAATACATGCTTTAAATTTATACTAGTGACAGTAACATAGAGAAGTGCATTGTATTGTGGGAAATTGCTTTGCAAAAATATGTATATCAAAGCAAAATTACATAGAAAAATGTGGGTATTAGGAGAAATTCGCAGAAATTCGCAGTAAAATGCTGGTGAGTTTTCATGAGGATTTTTTTTCTTTATAATTCAAACTAATGTGAGAATTGAAAAAGGAGAAACAGAGAGAAACCAAAATTGACAGATTCCTGCATCCCTAGCTCTGTCAGAAAGGAAACTGTTAGGTTGGCAGAAGCTGGGACAGAGCAACAGGAGCTCACCCCGTCACAGGGATTCGAACCATCAACCTTCCAATCAGCAAGCCCAAGAGGCTCAGTGGTGTAGACCACAGCACCACCTGTGTCCCAGTGCAAGTACAGTGGTACCTCGGGTTACATACGCTTCAGGTTACATACGCTGCAGGTTACAGACTCAGCTAACCCAGAAATAGTACCTCGGGTTAAGAACTTTGCTTCAGAATGAGAACAGAAATTGTGCTCCGGTGGCATGGCAGCAGTGGGAGGCCTCATTAGCTAAAGTGGTGCTTCAGGTTAAGAACAGTTTCAGGTTAAGAATGGACCTCCGGAACGAATTAAATACTTAACCCAAGGTACCACTGTAGATAAATAGGTACTGCTGCAGCGGGAAGGTAAACGGCATTTCCGTGCGTTCTGGTTTCTGTCACGGTGTTCCGTCACACCAAAAGCAGTTTAGTCATGCTGGCCACATTACCACATGCTGGCCAACGCCAGCTCCTGAAAGCAAGGTGAGCACTGCAACCCCATAGTCGCCTTTGAATGGACTTAACAGTCCAGGGGTCCTTTACCTTTTTTTACCTTACCATAAAGGAAACCTGCATCTCAGCTATCTCAACTGCCTCTTTTGGGGTTCCATCAGAGTCCAATGGCCCATGTGCGCCACATGAATGAACAAAAAGAGCAGTGTGCCTATTGGGTTGTCTGCCTTAAGCATCATTGTGTCTTTGCAAAGCTCATTACTTACATGTCCCTGTCAGGCTTGCTTCATTATTAACAGAGAAGGAGGAGGCAAACAAACCGCGGCAAACTTTTTAGAATTCATTACATGAGTTGGGAGCTGGATTTTAATTAAATATTTAAGCAGAGAGTTCTTTGATATGCTGTGCAAAGGTAAGCATGGGCTTTTGATTAAATTGTTGGCGCCTACATGAATGCAATTCATTCAGGGTGCCTTCCACCAGGCTCGTAGCCTCTCTCGCGTGCATGTACATCCACACCCCCACACCGCTATTTCCTTCCTGTTCTTCCTCCCCCCACCCCATTCCCTGATACATTTCACTTTTCAAAAACCCCTTTCTATCCCAGATGTTCGTTCTCTCCCTCTCGCCCTCGCCCTTTCACACACAGATGCATACATTCACCAGTGTGTGTTATTTCGGCTCCAAAAGCTTTCCCTAACAGTAGAAAGAGGACTTCCAGATCTGGCAGCTTCCACTCATGCCCTGAAAAAGTTGTTTAGTGTTTGTTGAACGGATCCTCCAAATCAGGGAGCCACTCCCCCCCCCCACACACACACAAAGTGCAACAATATCCCACAAATTCCTTGGGTGGTTTTCTTAAGGGTTTTATTCGCAAACGTCCGAGAAACCCCCAAGTTTGAACAGCAAAACCAAAAGGTGAGGTACACACAAGAATAGAGCACGCAGATGCCAAAGTATGGCAACTTAGAGAGCTTTCCTTAATAGTGGCAAGGTAGTTTCACGTAAGGGTATAAAAGGCAGTTCCCTATGTGCCTGTGATGTGGGAGGAGGGCATGGCTAGCCAACAAGAACTAGAACATTCCTACAAAGTGAAGATACGCTGCAATGTTTTGCTGCAGGTCCCACTTGTATGCTCTACAGGCCCCCCCAAAAAAGAGACATTAAATGAAAGACTATATTCACATGTCCTGCTTTTTTTTTTTGAACAAAAGTAGGCACCAGCATGACCATCAGGGTCAGGACCTTGCTACAGGGGGTAGAACCCCTTGCCAGAGGTCCTACTTGTCGTGTGTGTGTGTGTGTATCTCCAACCTGCAGAGGTAGACTCCTGTGACCCTCCTGATGTTGCTCTGATTCTAGGCATGCTTACTCAGAAGTCAGTCCCTTTCATGGCCACACCCACTCTTGCCAGGCCACACCCCTCTCTGTAAGCCACACCCCTTCCCAGCCTTGTTTCACGCCCTCAAGTGTTTTTGCATTGCTGGAATGTGTCACTGAACTCTGATTATGTCTCTTGCTTCTCTGGAATGAAGACAGAGAGGGGCATATGTCGAAACAGATGTACTGTACAAAGCTATATTTTCCTTCTGGCCCTTCACGGCACTGACAAGAGGTTGCCCAGGGTTGAATATAGCCCTCTGGCTGGAGAGTTTCCCCACCCCATCCTAATCTGTAAACAATGGATTTACTAGGAGGCAAAGCCATTGTGGGGTGAGGAGACCTTATTCTAGTAACTACTGGGAACCTCCCATCGGGACTGGGAATCCTTTGGCAAGATGCAGCCACCACAGTACAGACCTAGATGAGCACGAGACAGTTCTGCAATCTCATCCATAGATCTCAACCTGAGCCCGTTCCAGAAATCAGATGACCAGACAGAAAAACAACACTAAATCTCAAGAAGGGTTTATCTTACCACTGGATTAGACAGGCAATGGAAGTGGAAGAATCTTAGAATCAGCACCAAGTCCACTCCAAGGCTATTCTGTGGGGCTGTGCAGCTTTCCTCCCCTTTCGTTACAAAAATGTAAAAAAACAAAGCCCAAGAGACACACACAAAATAAAACATACAATTAAAACTGCCCCCCAAGACTGGCCCTTTAAATAATAAACTCTAGGTGGGCAACAGAAGGATATTGTCCATTGGTGCACAGTGTCCATATATTGGCCTTCCTTCAGCTCATCTTGTAACAGTAGACTCCAAATTTGCCAACTTTGGGGAAGCCAAAGCTTCTGACCCCAGGTTCCGGGGGACCACAGTTGGGCCGGGGCGAAGTGATGGGGTAGCGCACACTAGCATCAGCCAACCAGCCGGCGTCGCAACGGTCCAAATTAGAGAGCTTCCATGCTGAATAAAGTTGGCCCACCTTGGCAATCTCAGCGCCATCGTCCTGGCATGCTTGCTTGGCTTCCTCCAAGGTGAGCTGCTCGCGGCCGGACAGATAGTAAACCGTTCCTGTTGGGAGGGGGCAGAGAAAGAGTTATGGAGCAATGCAGGAAAATCCCAAAAGAGACCCACTTACAGATACATATCCTGCTTTTTTCTTCCTGTTTAGTTTATTTGGGGTTATACTGAATGCTAAGTCCTGCTCAGAAATGACTAACTGAAGTTAATGAGGATGACCACCCTGGGTTCATTCATTTCAGTGGGTCTAATCTGACTATGTAAGAAGGCTGCTGGATCAGGCCATCTAGTCCAGCATCCTCTTCTTGCAATGGCCAAGCAGATGCCACAAGCATGACCCCAAGCACAAAGTCCTCTCCCTTCCTGTGGGTTCCAGCAGCTGGCATTCAGAAGCATCGCTACTTACGACTGTGGAGCTAGAGAATATCCCACATGGCTAGTCGCCATCGATAGCCCTCTCCTCCATGAATTTCTTTAGTCCTCTTTTAAAGCTATCTAGGACTAGCATAGGAACGCGGGTGGTGCTGTGGGTTAAACCACAGAGCCTAGGGCTTGCCGATCAGAAGGTTGGCGGTTCGAATCCCCATGATGGGGTGAGTTCCCATTGCTCGGTCCCTGCTCCTGCCAACCTAGCAGTTCAAAAGCATGAAGTGCAAGTAGATAAATAGGTACCGCTCCGGCGGGAAGGTAAACAGCGTTTCCGTGCACTGCTCTGGTTTGCCAGAAGCAGCTTAATTCTGCTGGCCACATGACCCGGAAGCTGTATGCCAGCTCCCTTGGCAATAAAGCAAGATGAGTGCCGCAACCCCAGAGTCGTTTGCGACTGGACCTAATGGTCAGGGGTCCCTTTACCTTTAGGACTAGCGTTGGCTATCACCTTGGGTTTGCAGACCCTAAACAATGGTCATATGGTAAAGCAGGAGTCACCAGTCTTTTGCAAGCCAGAGAAAATGTTGTGGGCGCTATACATGTGCTACAACCATGCATGCACCACACTACACAAAGCGCCCCCCATGCACCACAAGGACATACGCCAGCATGGCCTAATGGTTAGCATGTTAGACTAGGACCTAGGAGAGCAGGGTTCGAATCTCCACTCACTGGGTGACCTTGGGCCGGCCACCATCTCTTAGCCTAACCTACCTCACAGGGCTGTTGTGAGGATGAAATGGGGAAGAGGGGAACCATGTACACCACCTTGAGATCCTTGGAAAAGTGATATATAAATGTCATAAATAAAAACAAACAAATAAAAATATCCTCTCACTCCTCCTCTTCTTCCCTTCCCTACTCCCTAGTTACCCTTTAGCCTTAGCTTTTTGCTAGCCTAATTGGGGAGTTTAGAAGGATGTTGTTCTTTCTTGGAGATTATATTGTGGAGAGAAGATTCTGCTTCTTTCAAGCCTAGTTATAGCTTTGGAGAATCTGATCCCTCCCACGGTAGCTGCCAAGAAGCAGAGAAACAATTAAAAGTTCTTACCACGTAATTTATTAATATTCGCAGGAAGAAACGAAGGAATGCGGTCTTCCCTAATAATGGCATTGCTCCAAGTAAAGTCCCACCCCCTCCGTCTCTCCTATTATACGTCACCCCTGTGTCAGCTAATCTGAGCTTTCTGCCTCTGAGCTCTCTCAATGCCCACCTGGTCCTGGGAAAGGGAGGATCAGGAATGCTTTCCAAAGACATTGAGTCTGTCAGCTGTCTCTCCCCTTGTGCTTCTTCTTGCTGTTCCTTTTCCAAAATTTCCCAGTTTCTCCCCTCTGCAGCCTCTGAACTACGGCCTTCTGCAAACCGCTGTTCTAAATCTATACTGTCCTCCTGTTCTCGGGAAGGTTCAGGAGAAAGGGGGGATGGTACCCACCGTTCCTCCTCAGTCCAGTCCCTGACACAAGGGAGGGGGGCGACCCTAAAGGTGTCAGGTAAGCCTATTTGAGCACATGTCTGCTTGTGAGAGCCATGCTGGTAACCCATGCAGGACAGGGTTATCAAGACAACCACAGCACAGAGGAGAAAACACAGCCTAGGGGAACACAAATTGTGCTTTTCAGTACCAAAGTCCATGAACAGTTACAGGGAGTTAAATGGAGAATTTAGACTCCAGAACTCATCTTCCCTTTAATGATTGCTCTTTGTAGTACGAATAAAAAGCATACTCAAAGCAGCATACTGCATTTAGAGCATTTCATTAAAACCCATCAAATACAAAAGCAAAAGGAAAGCTACCCAAATCCATTAACTACCGTAAAATGAAGCTCAGGGTGAAACAATCAACAGGAGTGAGATGAATTCCAACCCCAGCTGAAAGCCAGGTGACGGTTTTAAAAGCTCAGATGAGAGGGAGCCAACCAAGACTTATCTTGGGTAGGGATTCTGCAGGCTGAGCGCCTCTAAGAGTAGCAGAATGCATAACAAGGTTTGTGATGTTGAACTGAATGAGAGGTTTAGCTGTCTCTAAAAAGTCCCAAGTTCCACACCAAGGACATCTCCAGCTTGACCGGAAAGGTCTGTTGCTTGTAACTCAGGAGAGCGGCTGCAGGTCAGAGTAAACAGAACCAAGCTAGATGGATCAAGTCCCAATCAGCAGCCTAGAGCAGGCATAGACAAACTCAGCCCTCCAGATGTTGTGGGACTACAACTCCCATGATCCCTAGCTAACAGGACCAGTGGTCAGGGATGATGGGAATAGTAGTCCCAAAACATCTGGAGGGCCAAGTTTGCCTATGCCTGGCCTAGAGGCTGTAGTTTGAACTAACGGCAGTCCTCAAAGGCAGTCCCGTGCCCGGTGAATTACCGTATTATTATTATTATTATTATTATTATTATTAAATTGAATTTATATTTATTGAATTTATATACCACCCAGGGGTCTCAGGGCAGTTCACAGAATAAAGTCAAGATATAAAACCACAAAATACCTAATAAAAATAAAAACAACAACCCAATAGCCCCCCACCAAAACAACAAAAACACATTTTAAAAGAGTAGAGAATCTAAATCAGATCAACCAAAGGCCTGGTTGAAAAGGAATGTTTTTGCCTGGCGGCTAAAGGTGTATAATGAAGGCACCAGGCGAACTTCCTTGGGGAGAGCATTCCACAGACGGGGAGCCACTGCAGGGAAGGCCCATTTTCATGATGCCACCTTCCAGACCTCTCGAGGAGGGGGCACACAAAGGAGGGCCTCAGAAGATGATCTCAGGGTCCGGGCAGGTTCATATGGGAAGAGGAAGTAGTCAATCTGAAATCGCCAGAGTGGGGACATACAGCCAGGCCAGAGAGGACGTGCCCAGGCCCACCATCTCCCCATCCCTCCTCTAAAGTAGCCTGGCTGGTGAACGATGGCAGAGAACAACTCACCTTTCAGAGCAGAAGAGAAACAGAAGACGTCGAAATGATGGAGGTTCCTGTGGCGCTCTCCATAGTTCCGGAGGCCAGGGGCCATGTGTTTGCCTCCACAGGGCTCCCGTGGCACAGTGATGGGGTACTGGGCTGTGCCGTCCGTCAGCCAGCCTGCATTGCACCAGTCAAGGCCCTCCATCCAGGACTTAAAGAGCTGCTCAAAGGAGGCCATCATGGCATCCTGGTCCTCACAGGTCTTCTTGGCCTCATGGAAGTTGAGCTTGTAGCGCCCACGCTGAGGCTGGTAAGGGAACACCACCCCTGGGGAAAAGAAAGTTGCTGAGTGAGTACAGGAGGAAGCATCGCTTACTGAGGTGTGAGGAACCTATGGCCTTCAGAGGTTGCTGGACTCCAGCTCCCATCAGCCCCAGCCAGCTAGGCCAACAGTCAGGGGTTGTCAGGGACTGGGCAGAGGAGGAATGGTGGAGACCGCCTCCCCATCCTGACCTTTCCAGGGAAGAGGAAGACAGTCTAGATTTACAACAGGGGGTTGAAGGAAGTCACAGCTCAGAGGCAGATGAGGGGGAAAGCTGGGAAATCATGGGAGAGCCAGAGCAACACCTGGCTGACACGTTGTCATCAGAAAGCATTCCAGACCCTCCATCTCCCAGAACCCGGCGAGCCTTAAAAGTAGGAGAGCAAAGAGCTCAAAGAGCACATTGCAGCACCCGTAGAAGTGACGAATGAGGAAGTGGGAGAGGCAGGGGGTGGAGTTTCACTCGGGACAACGCCATTATCCAAGAGGCTGGCTTCTAGAGCCTCTCTCTGTAAAGTTTGAAATAAAAAAGGACTGCAAGAAACCTTCCCTTGTCTTTATACTGTCCTGGGCAACCAGCCAGCAGCTGCTGACAGCATCCTGACAGAGATGTTGGGAGCTGCAAGCCTGCAGCATCTGAACTACACATTTATAGCAGTCATGGATTCCCTGGGAAGTGTCGTTTGTTAAGGGTGCTGAGAGTTGTTAGGAGGCCCCTATTGCCTTCTGAGAGCTCCGATCCCCAAAGCAGTTTTAACAACCAGTCCCTCTTGCCAAGAAACTCTGGGAATTGTATCTCTGAGTTTCTGTCCCCAAGAGAGGTGCACACAAGGCCTTTGGCTTCTTGTGAATTGCTGCTCACTTTCTTCCGGTGACATAAGAACATTTAGAAAAGTCTAAACAAAAAATGGGACACAAATTTTCATGTACCCTCTATGGTGGCTCATTCACCAGAAGTCATGTATTTAGTGTTAGCTCTGGAAGTGTGGTGCCGGAGGAGACTCTTGAGAGTCCCATGGACTGCAAGAAGATCAAACATCTTAAAAAGCAGAGACATGACCTTGCCAACAAAGGTCCGTATAGTAAAAGCTATGGTTTTCCTGGTAGTGATGTACGGAAGTGAGAGCTGGACCATAAAGAAGGCTGATCGCCAAAGAATTGATGCTTTTGAATTATGGTGCTGGAGGAGACTCTTGAGAGTCCCATGGACTGCAAGAAGATCAAACCTATCCATTCTTAAGGAAATCAGCCCTGAGTGCTCACTGGAAGGACAGATCCTGAAGCTGAGGCTCCAATACTTTGGCCACCTCATGAGAAGAGAAGACTCCCTGGAAAAGACCTGATGCTGGGAAAGATGGAGGGCACAAGGAGAAGGGGACGACAGAGGACGAGATGGTTGGACAGTGTTCTTGAAGCTACTAACATGAGTCTGACCAAATTGCGGGAGGCAGTGGAAGACAGGAGTGCCTGGCATGCTCTGGTCCATGGGGTCACAAAGAGTCGGACACAACTAAACAACTAAAGAACAACAACTGGAAGTGTATGCTCAATTCTGACCAAACTAAACTTACTAGAGCAAAATATAGAGCATGAGGAATCTCGATGTGAAATATATTGACCTTATTTTCAACTCTCCTACCCCACTAGTGAGCTTTATGGATAAAGAGGGATTTCCCCTCATGTAGGGTTGCCATATTTCAAAAAGTAAAAAACCAGACACAAAAGTTGTTGAGTTTTTTGGTTTTTTTCTCCGGGGGGTGGGGGGTGGGCAGAGTGATGTTCTGATTTTTTTGTTCATTATTTTTGACAGACGAATCCTGGATATGTTGAGGAGTTCCCCTATAGCTTCTTGTTTGCCACTATGGGATCTGGGATGCAAAACTAGGTAGGTCTTTGTTCTAATTTGTTGGTTGATTAATCATTATAATAACAAAGCTAAAGTAGGCTTCGTTGTGAACCCACAGTGCACGATGGTTTTAAAAAGAGAAAACGCTCATCTTTCAGTCCATTTAGTCAAACAGCATACAGCCCGGCATCGCAGCAATATATAATCACAGGATGGGCTCCTCACACGGGGAGGGGGAAAATGCTTAATGTATTCCCACAGAGCCTTTCATCTTGGATGAAAGAAGATAGAGAGAATTTTTTAAAAAAACTGAGAAAAATGACAGGCTACTGGTGACCTCTGGTGGCCAGAAATAGGTATATACTCGGCAGTTCTGATAACCGCCTCCAGACTTCTTAGAAAATCCCAAGGATCTACCTGCACAAAGGTGGAGTCCTGTTTATTAGGAAGCGGGAAAAGGACAGTTTCATGGGTGTAGCCGGGGGGCACAAGTATTATTGAAAAGCATTGAAAGTACTCAGTTATCTGAGGTCCCCCCGCCCCCCAGCTTGCAGAAGCCAGCCCCGCACAATGTCCTATTTACAGGGTAATTTTACCAGTGATTTCCCTAGAAAAACTCAACAAGTTTGATTTCCTTAAAAAAAGCTTTAGCTCCACCCACCCACCCAAAAAAAACAAAAATCCTGGTTACGTTCATGAACAGTTCATTCATGTTTCCAAATAAAATTTGAGAGAGTGATCCAGAAACATTCAGTTCGCCATCTGCTATGTGGCTTCTATCTCATGCTGCTGATGGTTAGGAAGATTCGTCAAGCATCCATAATATTAAGTTGTTTGGGCAGTCTAGCATCAGAATGTTAAGTGGGGGAGCGTCCATCACAACAATAGTGCTGTGTAAGTATGGGATTTGAATTTTTTTCTGAGCTATTAATCACCTTCCACATATATGTCCCAAGATTATGTACAAATCATAATAAAAACAGCAACAACAAAAACTGTTAAAAAGAGCAAGTGATTTTTTTAAGCCCACCCAGGTATTTAGAAAGCTGGTGTGTGTTTAAAGCTTTAAAACACAAAATTAAAATATTAGACAACTGTGTGAGGGGGGGATGGGGGGAAATCAGATCTCAATTAGAGCAGGAAAAAGTGGGACACGCAAACAAAATATCTGTTTTAAACTGATTGCAGAGAGAGAGAGAATGTATACATCAAGCAACTGTTAAAGGGGTCTAATGATGATATCTTTATTCAAGAACTTTGCCACTTGCTCTGCAACTGCTTCAGGGCCCCAGTAAGTCAAAGTGATCTGACGACACACAGAGGAGCAAATAATAGGATATATTAGATCTTTCCCAGTCCCTTAAGAAAAACTACAATAGAAAAGTACATGCAAGATAGATGCCCCTTCAGCATTGTGGCAACGGGCAGCATCTGTTGTTCTTTGGGGTTTTATTATATCTGCCGTCAAATAGATTAGAGGGGAGAACATTAAGCCTTACCAGAAAGGAAGCTTCCCTGTATTTATGGAAGATTAACCATCCCAGAAGGGATGCAGGTGGTGCTGTGGGTTAAACCACAGAGCCTAGGACTTGCCAATCAGAAGGTCGGCGGTTCAAATCGCCGCGACGAGGTGAGCTCCCGTTGCTCGGTCCCTGCTCCTGCCAACCTAGCAGTTCGAAAGCACGTCAAAGTGCAAGTAGATAAATAGGTACCACTCCAGCGGGAAGGTAAACGGCATTTCCGTGCGCTGCTCTGGTTTGCCAGAAGCAGCTTAGTCATGCTGGCCACATGACCCAGAAGCTGTATGCCAGTTCCCTCTGCCAATAAAGTGAGATGAGCGCCGCAACCCCAGAGTCGGTCACGACTGGACCTAATGGTCAAGGGTCCCTTTACCTTTACCTTAACCATCCCAGGCATGGCATTCTGTCTTTACAGCAGGGGTGTGATTTCCCAGTGACTGGGGGGAACAAGTCCTCATGCAGGACCCTAAAGATCTGGGAGATCAGAGACTTAACCATTGGTTTGGCTCCCTTTAATTCCCTGCTTAGCAGGTATGAGGGTGAAAGAGCAACTGAGCTAACTTTATGCACCGCAGCCTTCAACCAAGGTGATTCGAAAGAATCAAACATTGTCTCGGAGACGAATGAACTGGGAGTGAGCGCAAAGCAACAACAGAGCCACAAATGGATGGAATAAATCCACAATCAGCACCCCCAATGAATTCAAGCCAACTTCCAGTTTAAGAGTAGCTCCAGAAACCCACCTGGGAACCCAAAACTTTAGCCTAAGGGAAAAGTTTGAACTTACGGTAAGGAAACCAAATTGGTGCCCCAGAAAGAATCTGGGAAACAATTTTGGCTTTACAAAGCCAAGATAGCTACTGGAAGGGGGGGGGGGGAGGAAATCCACCCTTTGTGGCAGAGGGGATGTGAATTTTCGCTCCCACATTTTGTTACACTTTGATCCGAGTGGATATTTCCTGTACCCTCCTGCCTATAGCTTCGTAAAACCATACACCCAGATATTGATACAAACCATTGTCAGCCTAAGGGCCACATCCCATTGTGGGAAACCTTACCAGGGGCCACATGCCATTGGTGGGTGGAGCCAGAGGCAAAAGTGGGTGGAGCAACGCATATACATTTTAGCTTTGTAGAGCAGCCTACACAGGCACACACTATCTTTCTATCCTCCATAGGTAAAGGGACCCCTGACCATTAGGTCCAGTCATGGCCAACTCTGGGGTTGCGGCGCTCATCTCGCTTTATTTGCCGAGGGAGCCGGCGTACAGCTTCCGGGTCATGTGGCCAGCATGACTAAGCCACTTCTGGCAAACCAGAGCAGCGCACGGAAACACGTTTACCTTCCCGCCAGAGAGGTACCTATTTATCTACTTGCACTTTGACGTGCTTTCGAAGTGCTAGGTTGGCAGGAGCAGGGACCGAGCAACGGGAGCTCACCCTGTCGTGGGGATTCGGACCGCCGACCTTCTGATCGGCAAGTCCTAGGCTCTGTGGTTTAACCCACAGCGCCCCCTGCGTCTATCCTACATACAGGCAAGCAAAAGGCAGGATTCAAGAACACTCTTGGAAGGTGCAAAGCAGAGCAAGGCAACAGCATGACCTGGGGAGAGTACTGAGGGCTAGATAGAGAGGCTTGGAGGGCTGGATTTGGCCCCAGGACTCAGCTTCGTCCCCACCGCGATCCAGAATATTTCAGAATTTAGTTTGAAGTTGGATTATGATTTTTAAAACGGCCACTGAATGCACCGTCCCACTCACCTTGGAGCGCTAGCTCCACAATCGCGCTCTCATCTTCCAGGCCATCGATGACCTCGCAGCGGTACTTGCCAGCGTCGTGCAGGCGCAAGTCATCGATCACCAGGGACGCTTCCTGGTCAGGCGCCTGCTGCAGGGTCGTGCGCCCCCGGAACCCCCCAAAGCTCCGCTGCTTCGACCCAGACGCCACCAGCACATCCTGATCTTTGGTGTTGTCCTCCCGCAGCTTGGACCACTTGACGCGGATCTTCCGTGGGATGTCCAGCTTGGGCACATAATGATAGCGGCAGGGCAGCACGGCGCTGGCGCCACGGTAGGCATAGACGGCATCCGGGGAAGTCTCAACCATCAGCCTTACAGCACGGAACTGAACTGCAGGGGTTGAAAAACAGGGTATGAAATACAGTGGTACCTTGGTTCTCAAACGTCTTGGTACTCAAACTCCTTGGTTCTCAAACACTGAAAACCCGGTAGTAAATGTTCCAGTTTTCTTTTTTTTTTTTTTTTTTTTTTTTTAAATATTTTATTAAGGATTTTCTTGTTTTACAGAAGTGTAGTGCCTCGTATTTTTTTTCCCATGTAACATTTTTACAAATCCGTTTCATTTGTTGAGGCATTAGGGGGAGAAGTGAAAAAAAAGAAAAAGAAAAGGGGGGGTGGAGAGAGGGAAGATGGATGGGGGTGGGGTCGGGTGGCGGTGTTTCTATTATGTTTAATGTATGTAGAGTTTGGTGTCAGCGTTGCTTGTGTTGTTCACTTGTGTTCCTTTGGTGGTGAGAGAGGTTGGGGTTGGCCTAGGGTGTGATTGTTTGCTTGTGATTGGCTGTGGTGATCTTTGTTTTCGTGTGTGAGTGAGGTGGGTGGGTGTTTTGGATCAGGTTAGCCATATTGATTTGTATGCTGTTGGTGGATTATTGTCATTGTCCTGTTGGGCTGTGTATGTGATAAATGGGAGCCATACCGGGGTGAAGGCGTCTTCTTCTGTTTGTCCCCGTGTCAGTTTCAGTTTATTAGTTAATTTTTCTAGTAGGGCTGTTTCCCATACTATTTGGTACCATTGGTCCATGCTTACTCCTGACAGGTCTCTCCAGTGTCTGGTTATGGTGTTTCTGGCTGCTGAGAGCAGGTGGGTTATGAGTTCTTTGTGGTGTAAATGGGCATTGTTGTCTTGGAAGATGTTTAGTAGGGCCAATTCTGGGGTGATGTCTATTACTTGCTTAGTTATTTTACATATTTCTTGTATGGCTGTTGTCCAGAATAGTTGGATTTTGGGACACTCCCACCACATGTGGAGGTATGTGCCTGTGGAGGTGCACCCTCTCCAGCATTTTGGTGAGGTTCCTGGGTGTATTAGCGCTAGTTTCCTTGGTGTTAGGTACCACCTGTAGGTGAGTTTCAGTGTGAGTTCTTTTCTTTTCGTTGATATGGATTTAAAGGGGGGTTTAGACCACATTCTGGTCCATTGAGTGGGGTTAATCTCATAACCTATGTCATTCTCCCATTGTTTTTTGATTGCGTCTAGGGGATTTACAGGATTTTGGAGTAGTATTTTGTATATTGCGGATACCGTCCCTTTACCGTTTCCCTTTGTTGTTAGGAGGAGGTTTTCGAAGGTTGTCAGGGGCCTAGTTGCTGCTGATTTTACTGTTGGGTTGTTTAAGAGGGCATGAAGTTGGTGTTGTGTTAACCAGGGCATTTGGGTGTCTTCTAGTTTGTCTTGTATTTCTTGTGTTGACAAGGGTTTGTTATTTTTATAAAAGTCTATTAGGCGATATAAGCCTTTGGTTCGCCAGGTTTTTATCTTGAGGTTTTGTGCTGCACGGTGGAATAATGGGTGGTACGACAGGGGGAGTAGTGGGGATGGGGTTGGGGATAGTTTGCCTATTTGTGTTTTCCATGCTTTGAGCATGGTCTGTGTGTACCTGTTAAGTGTTGTGGGAATTTTCTTTAGTTTGTTTGGGAGGAGTGGGTATGTTGTGGTGCAGGTGTTTTCAATTGTGTCCCTCTCTAGGTGTACCCATTGTTTTGTCTCATCTTCTAGTATATATGGGATTATGTGGCGTATTTGGTTGGCATTGTAATATGCTTCTATGTTGAGGATTCCCCATCCTCCTTCTGAGGTGGGGAGGTGCAGGTATTTGGGGCTTATTCTTGGTTTTTTATGTGAGAAGATGAAAGAGTGTAGTTTTCTCTGCCAACTGCGAAGTTGGGTTGAGGGGATCCAGATTGGGAGGGTTTGGAATAGGTAGGTTAGTTTTGGGAGTGTGATCATTTTGATCATGGCTATTTTGTCTGAGAGAGTGAAGTTCATGTTATTCCATCTCTTTAGGTCTTTGTTAATTTGTCGCCACAGGGGCTTGTAGTTGTGGAGGTACAATTTATTGAGGTTTCTGGTTATTTGTACCCCTAGGTATCTGAACTTGGTGTGGCAAAGTTTTATTTTGGTGACCTTCGTGAGTTCTTTTTGGGTGTGAGGAGGGGTGTTGAAGCACATAGCTTCTGACTTTGTAAAATTTACCTGTAGGCCCGACACCATTGCAAATGTGTTGAGTTCTCTGATTAGGGAGGTTGCTGTGCTTATGGGGTCTGGTGTTGTGACCATTAGGTCATCTGCAAAGAGCCCTAATTTATAGGTTCTGCCTTTTATTTCCACTCCCTTGATGTCTGTGGCTGCTCGGATGCGGATTGCTAGGGGTTCCAGAGCCAGGATAAATAAGAAGGGAGACAGTGGGCATCCTTGTTTCGTGCCTCTTTGGATAGCTATAGTGTTAGAATCCATATTGTTAGTTCTGCATTTTGCTGAGGCTTGGGAGTATATTTGTTTGAGGATTTGTAGGAAGTTGGGGCCAAATTTCATGTTAGTTAGTACTGCTAATATGTATTTCCACTCCAAGCAATCAAAGGCTTTGAGGATGTCTAGGGACATAATTGTCAATGGGAGTTTGGTTGCCTTGCTGTGTTCGATCAGGTTCAGTAGTTTCCTGATGGGGTCTGTTATATTGCGGCCAGGGACAAAGCCAGTCTGGTCTGGGGCTATTAACTTGTGTAGGAAGATTTTTAGGCGGTTGGCCAAGATTGATGTGAATATCTTGTAGTCTTGGTTTATTAATGAGATTGGGCGGTATGATTCTACTTTGAGGCTGTCTTTTAGTGGTTTTGGGATGGAGACTATTTTGGAGTGGGTCCAGGTTTTGGGGATGGGGCCCCCTTTTATGATGTCGTTGAATAGGCGGGTCATGTAGGGCATCAAGGGTTCTTTGAATTTCTTATAGAATTCTGCTGTGAAGCCGTCTGGGCCTGGGGCTTTGTGTGGTTTCAGGTTTTTGAGGACCGCATCTATTTCCTCTGGGGTGATAGGGCTGTCCATGAATTCCTGTTCCTCATTAGTTAGGGTAGGCATGGTCAGTCCTGCTAGAAATGTTCTGATTTCCTTCTCTGGTGGGTTATGGGAGGTGTATAGGTTGGAGTAGAATTCTGCAAATTCTGAGGTTATTTCTTTGGGGGAGAATGTTATGTTGCCGTCTTTTTGGTGATGCAGTGTATTCTTGTTTTGAGTGCTTTTTTCCTACATCTATTTGCTAGTAATCTGGAGTTTTTCCCTCCATATTCGTAGAAACGTTGTTTAGAGTATAGAATGTTGATCATTGTTTTGTTAATTTCTAGGGAGTCTAGTTCTCTCCTTTTTTGTTCTATAAGTTTGAGGAGTTTTTAGATCCTGTTTGTTTGTAGCGTGATGAGAGGGCTGTGATGTCTTGTTCTATTTTGCTAATTTTTGAGGAGGTTTGTTTTTTAAGGAATGTTTTCTCTTTTATGCAAGCTCCTCTGGTGACCGCTTTCATTGCGTCCCATAGGAGGGGGGTTGTTATATTGTTTACATCGTTTTCTTTGAAGTAGTTTTGGAGGGTTTTTGTGAGACTCTCTCTAATTTGTTTGTTTGTAGTTAGGATGGGACTGAAGGACCATGATGGGGTGGTTTGTGTTCCTTCTCCTATTTTAACAATGACTTCTACTGGGGCGTGGTCTGTGATTTTAATGTTACCTATGTTTGTTGATTCTACTGAGGGGATCAGACCCTGTGTGAGTAGAATGCTGTCCAGTCTGGACACTGTATCATGGCGTCCTGATTGGAATGTATGGCTGATGTCTCCCGGGTTTTGCTCACCCCAAATGTCGTAGAGACCCCTGTTTTTTAGCATTTTTAGTAACTTGTAAGAGTTCCTGGTTGTTGGGGGTTTCCTTCGGAGGAAGGTTGCCCATGGGGTTGTGGGGTGGATATCTTTCAGGGATATACCTTTCATATTTAGATTGAGGTCCCCTCCTAGGATTGCTTCCCCTTCAGAGAAGGAGAGGAATTTGTTTAGTGTCTTCTGGAAGAATTCTAATTGTTTCGTGTTTGGGGCATATATGGAGCCGATTGTCAGTTTGATTTTGCCATCTAGTGTCCCTTTAGCGAAAATGAATCTGCCTTTTTGTCCTTGAGGACTGTTGTGGCAGTGAAGTTCAGGTCTCTACTGAGTATTATGGCTACACCACGAGCTTTCCCTGAGCCTCGTGCGACCCACTGTTGACTGAAGCGGGGGTCGCTCAGGAGTTTGCTGCCTTTGGGTGGGTTGTGTATTTCTTGTAGGAAGGTGATGTGTGGTTTCATGGTGTTTATGTATGAGGTGATGCGTTTTCTTTTGATGGGGTTTCCCAGCCCCCTCACGTTTAATGTAATTGCTTTTAGGTTAGCCATCTTGCTTATCTATTATGTGGGGCAATTCCTTGCCAACCCATTCGGGTTGTCTTGTGTCTCTCTCTTCGTGTTGTTTAAAAAAGTGGGGTTGCGCTGACCTAGGGTGTGGTGGGTGGGGGCTAATGGGATTAGAGTAAGATTTGGGTTAAAGAGTAGGGGGTAAGTTGTAGAGAGTTTCCTATATGTAGTCATATAGGTGTTTGTTTGGGGTATTTTAGGCCATCTGGCATTTAGCCAGTTGGTCCTAGGTCTCAGCTGGTGTGGAAGGCCGTGTTCAAGGACAGGCCATCCCCCCTGTTGTTTGCGATAGGGGGTGATCAGTGAGACAGTGTGAAGTGACTTTGTAACGTCGCTGTCAGGTATAAGGTTCATAAGCAATGTTGCCAATGTTATGAGCAACATTATTGGTGTGTTGGGGTGGGGATGTGGGTGCTGGTACGCTCTGGTGCCACCATAGTGCTGGTTGGGTATCAGATTTTAGCCTGATTGTGGGTTGTGTTATTAAGGTTGTGGGAGTTGTTTTTCCCTAGTATGGAGTATGGGGGTGTTGAAGGTGTGGGTGATGGGGAATGTGGTTGAGGTCGTCTGGACTGGTGTTGGGTTGGGGATTCCTGTGGGGGTGCGGGGCTGGGGGGGATGTTGATGGTGTTAACTAAATCTATGTTTTTGGGGGGGGGAGAGGGGAAAGGGGGGGGGGAGTCACCAGTCCTTCAGTTTGTGGTTTTTTCCTGGTTGCTTCATTCAGCTGGGGTTGTTGTTGTTGTAGGGTTGTCCATCTGCGATGAATTGGTTTGGTTGATCTTGGTCTGGTTTCTTGTGTCGTATGGCCGGCGGGACGGTTCTGAGCATGATGCTTGCCTGTATTGGTTTGCGTTGTTGTGCCGCTTCTGTTGTTTCTTTTTCTTCTGTACCGTTGTCCAGTTGTTTGCTGTTGTTTCCTCGTGGTTGGGGCTGTCACTTGGTGGGTTTGTCGGTTGCCATTCCGGTGGGAGGTTGAGTTCAAGGTTTTTTAGTAGTTGCAGGGCCTCAGGTATGTTGGTAGCCATGTGTTGTGTTGTATTGGTTGTTACAATGAGGCGGAAGGGGAAGCCCCATCGGTATTTGATCCCTGCTTGTTGGAGACGCTGGGTGCATGGGCGCAGGCTTTTCCTCCGGTTTAGGGTATCCTGAGAAAGGTCCTGTAAGGCCAGAATGGGGGTTTCTCCATATCGAAGGTTGGTTGAGTTTTTGAGATGGTTCCATACCTCTTCCTTCTTTTTGTAGCGTGTGAAGCATACAATGATGTCTCTTGGGGGGGCGCTGGGTTTTGGCATAGGTTTTAGGGCTCTGTGAGCCCTCTCCAAGTCATCTGCCTCAAGTTTCAGGCTTGGGATTGTGTTTTTCAGCCAGCGTATAATTAGGTCTGCTGGGCTTTTCTCCTCTGTTTTTTCAGGAAAGTTGCGGAAGCGGATGTTACAACGTCTATTGCGGTCTTCGAGGTCGGCTTGCTTAATTTTCATCTCTCTGTGTTCTGCTTCCATTTGGTTTACCAGTTCGTCCAGTTTCTTGTTCACACGTGTGTTCTCCTCCCGGTATTGCTCTATTATTCTTTCTTGCATTTGGTTCTTGTTCTCTAGAGCTTCCACTTTGGAGGTTAGATTGTTGATTAGTACCTGCATGGGAGCCATTGTGGCCTTCAGTGTTTCTTCTAATCGTGCTTCTAATCTTGCTTCCATTTCCCTCAGATCTCGTTTCGTTATTGGGTGGTCGTCATCTTGAAGGGGAGTTACCATCTTAGCATTGTTTGCCATCTCCCTGGTTGGTGTCATCTCGGTCTCCCTGATGGTTTTGGTTTGAGGTTGGCTTGGCGTCCTCTTGGGGTAGGGGCGTGTGGTGGTTAGGAGTTGTGGCAGTGGTGATTCCTGGGTATTGTTGGGTTGCTGAGCTGATCAGGCTTTGTTGGCTGGTGGCTTCTACAGAGCGTTTGGATTAGGTGGTCATTTGTGTCACTTCTAGCCTGTGTTTTAAGAACTTCTCTAGGGCTTTTGTGGATGCCTCAGCGGTGCCGCCGAGGTGGGGGGGGGCAGGTAAGCAGAGATGGGTAGATTAACGGACAGACAGTTCATATAAAGGGAGGGGGTTAGCAGGTAGAGATGCAAGAGATTAGAGGGGTGGGGTCAGGGGAAATATGTGTTTAGGAGGGGGTTGTATATGCCCAGAAGGGGTATTGGGGTCCAGTTAAGGTGGAAGTTGGGGTTGGGAGTGCGCTCAGAAACAGAGACAGACAAATAGGCTATATGTAAAGGGTGGAGGGAGAAAAAAGGGAAGAAGAAGAAGAAAGAAAGAAGAAGGGGGGAGGCGGGGGGGGAGGGGAGATTGGAGTAAAAGAGAAGAGAGAGAGAGGGACAAAAAGAGAGTTGAAAGAGCGGGGAGAGATAGTACAGTAATATCAGCGGTATTAGAATGCAGCAGTAGTTTTAGCTATAGTATGAGGGGGGCAAATTGTGATAGGGTGATATGAATGTGTGTATGTGTTTCCTTTAGGGGAAGGGGGAGATGGAGAGAGGGAGGAGGGAGAGAAAGGAGAGGAGGAGGGGGAAGGGTGGGAAAAGGAAGGAGAAGAAAAGAGAGGGGGAGAGGGGAGGGAGGGAGGGTGAGCTGCTGCAATGGTATGGGGGAAAGTCTTATTTTAAAATAGGGGGTGGGGGGGAAAGGGCTCCCCTCTCAAAAACAAACTGATGAACAGGCTAAAAAGGGGGCCTTGATTTAAAAAAAAAATTAAAGGGATAGAGAACAAAATTGGGGATGGGAAATGAAAGGTGGGATAAAAGGAAAAATGAGGAGGGGTGAAGAGAGAGAGGGGAGAGAAAAAAGGGAGAGAAAAATAAAAAGGAGGGGAGTTGAGGGGGAGAGTATCAATAGCAATAGCAGTGATATGGAGGAAGTTTTTGTTTTAAAAGAGAGTGGTGGTCGTAGCTGGGGGCGAAAGATTCCCCCCTCAAGAACAAGCCAACAAATAGAAAAGAAAGGGCTTTAAAAAGAGAAAGAGGGGAGAAAAAATAATAATTGTATGGTTTTGGTTTTTTTTGTTTTTTTTTTAAAAATAATAATAATAATAATATTTTCCCCTAATTATTGTTATTATTTTTTGTTTGTAAAAAAGTAATTAAAAATGTACGGGTAAAATATAAAAATGAGAATTAAAGGTTAAAAAAAAAAGGGGGGGGTTGTCTTTAGATAGATAGATAGATAGAGCTTTTTATTTTATTTTATTTTAAAAATGAGTAAAGTATAGGTAAAAGAGGATAGGTAAAAGAGAGTGGAAAGTCGGGGGCGAAGTGGCAGTCCCAGGAAATGGCCTGTGATGGTTCAGGGCTGTTTCCTGGGTACTGCCATTTTAGTTCTTAAGAGGGGAGTTTGAGGTGGAAATAAAATGAGGTTTGAATTCAGAGTGTGTGTGTGGAAAAGTGTGTCTTTAAATAGTGTGTAGAAAAGATAGCAATAAAAATAAAGATTCAAATAAAGGGTGGCTGCAGCAGCAGTGGCCCCTCTTTTAAAAAGAAAAGTGATAAAAGTAGGTATATGGGGGGGGGAGGGATAAAAAAGATATATATATATATATTTTAAAGGGGGGAGGGAGGGGAGGAAGGGGTTAAAAACAAAGGGGGGTTAAAAAAAAGAAAAGAGAAGAAAGAAAGGGGGAAATCCCTTTGTTATGCGGCTTCTCTGTTTTCCTTGCTGCTGGAGCTCCCGGTGGGGCTCAGCCACGTGTTTTTTCCGGAGCCTCTTTTGCCTTCCCGTGCTCACCTACCTCTCCTCTGCTTTCTTGTCAGCAGAGATGGGGGCAGCAGCGGTAAGTTTGGGGCTCCTTTTTCTTTCTTTCTTTTTCTTCTTCTTTCCCCCTTTTCTTTTTCTCCCTCTCTGCGTTAGCTCCACTGTCCTCCTGGTTTTGGAGCTCCTCTCGGCTGTTGGGGGGGGTGGTCGGGTGTCTTTCCGGCTCAATCTCTTTCTTGGGGGGGTGTGTTGGCTCGTTTGATAGGCTCCCGGGCACCCCCGATTCCTCTCCGCTGGCGGTGCTGGCGGCAGCAGTCCTGGGAGCCCAGGAGTCGGCCAGACAGAGCCTTTTACTCTGGCTGGCTTCAGGAGCTCTTTTCTGCTGTTGCAGCCGCCATGCTGCCTCG